CTGCCTAAAGCTGGTCGCAGCCAGCGCTAACATTTTACCACCAAAGCTGAGCTCTGACCCTGTGGAGCGTGCCCCGGGAAGACGACTAAAGAGAGATGTAGAGTTGTTCCGGAGATAACCTTTGACACGCTCCCCGGGGCCAGAGCGCACACTGCTGTCTCTTGCACATTGCCCCGCACACTGAAGTGCTTGGCGGTTCAGCCTGTCACTCCATGGCAGCCGGCATAGCCTGCTGCACAGAGGCAGCCCGTGGGACGCTAATGATGTCCTCAGTGACTCTGCCTCCAAGAAAAGCAGACGAGCAGCTCTACACAGGGTCAGGTTGATCCCCACAAGTCCCATGAGGAAGCTATTGTTTCTGCCGAGGTTACCGGAGAGCAGAAACAGCTCCCTGGAACACTAAGCAAGGCTTTTTTGGAGACGAAGGTCCATGTCCTGTAACTTTGTATTTGAAACTTCACCCTAGTTTTTTCGGGTTTTTTTGTTTTGTTTTGTTTGTTTCACCCTAGTTTTGTAACCTTACTGTATTTCTGTACAGAGAAGGCCTGTAGGCAGCAGACATGAGCTTTAGTGGGGAAGCCTATGTGGCGGGCTGCTTAAAATGTTGCATCTAGTTTCCTTCATAGGAAGATAGTTTCATGAACTTTTCTTGGCAGACTTGGGCAACAGGTTCTTTAATGCTTTTCATTTGAGAGAGAGCTGCTACTGGGATTATGGTATACGAAGATCAGGATTAAAGCAGCCAGGCTGGCTAGGGCATTGTATAACAAGAAATCAGGTGTTTATTCAGCAGATGGTAAAATGCTATTGTAGTGCTTCTAAGGCAGTGAGTCATTCCAAGTAGAATTGGCTAGTAAGGGTCAATTGTCTGACCTCTATTCCAATCCTTGGTTGATATAGGCCAAAAATGTGTTAGTTACAGACATCTGAAACTTAAAAAAAAAAAAAAAAGCACAAAAACTTTACTTGATGCCTTATATACAAATGTTGCTGGGCCAGGCATAGTGTAACCCCAGCACTTGGGAGGCTGAGGCATAAGGATTGCCGTGGTTGAAGCCAACCTAGGCTGCAAAGTGAGTTCAAGGCCAGCCTGAAATATACAGCAAGACTCTAAGTAAAAAAAACAAAAAATTTAAAAAACTAAAAAATAAAAATATAACTTCTACCACCTTAGCCTCTTGTCCTTGATATTACTCCCAGGAGGGGCTCAGTGACCTGTGTACTAAAAATGCTCGCTGGCATTTCGACAGCAGGAAAGTTGCTTTTTAGTGTAAAGCAAAACGACAGATTACCAACTGATGTCCTTTTGACCTCAGAGAGCTAGGTGTACTCCAGTTAAGGCTTGACTTGGAGGTACCTAGAGATTCAAGGCAACTGAACTGTGGTCTATATGTCTTAATAAGCAAAGAACTGCAAGAGTTGGAGTTTAGAAAAACTCTTATGGAAGGTGATATTAGGGCAGGCATTGAAGGTCAGGCCGAGTTCCTACTGGAAAAATGGGGCCACCTAGACAATATGGCATGTGGTGGTATTTTAGTTCAGTTTGTGCTTTTCTTGAGACAGGGTCTCACTATGTAGTTTAGGCTGGCCTTGAAATCACTTGAATCTAATCTCAGTATTTGATCTATCTAATCCCAGTACTCAGGAGGCTGAGGCAGCAGGATTGCTGTGAGTTCAAGGTCATCCTGGGCTACATAGTTGAAGGCCAGGCTGAACTACATAGCAAGACCGTTTCAAATAACCAAAAAAGAAAAAAAGAAATCACAACGATCCTCCTGCCTCAGCCTCAAGTGCTGGCATCACAGGTGTACACCACCATGCCTGGCCCTAACCCTTTTATTTATATATATTAAATTTTGAGACAGGATGTCACTAAGTCTCAAAATTGCCAGACTGGTTGGAACTTGTAATCCTCCTGTCTCAGCCTCTCAGAGTACTGGGCTTACAGGGTGGTTCATCGTGCACTGCTCAGACTGGGAAATTTATAAGGAAGTAATTTATTCTTATAGTTCTAGAAGCTAAGAAATCCAAGATCTAAGAGCCCACACTTGGCCATGGCCTTCATGCTATATCATCCTGTGGCAGGAGATGGAAAGGCAAGAGAATGCAAACTAGCAAGACATTAAACTCAACTCTCAAGCCTTTTTTGTGGTTGACATTGATCCATTGATGAGGGTGGCATCCTAAGACCTAAACACTGCCATAAGGTCCGTGTCTCAACACTGGCATTTGGGAACTAAGTGTTTTTTGGCAGGAAGGAAGACAAGTGTGGGCTTGCAAGTGAGGAGTCAAAATGTAAACCAAAACCAACTGAGGTGTTTTTTCTGTTTTGTTTTTTGAGACAAAGCCTCACCATGTAGCTCAGGCTGGCCTTGAACTCCTGCCTTAGTACTGGGATTACAGGCAGGCGCCACTATGCCCAGCTTTGCCTGGCAGTTTCTTTCACAAGATTATAGTTAAGAAATTGGCTGGTATCCAGGTCATTTAAGAGTGCTCGCTTCGGCAGCACATATACCAGGTCACTTAAGAACATTTATAGGACTAGGGATATAGCTCAGCAGTACAAGCGCCTACCTGGCAAGCACAAGGTCCCAAGTTCTATTCCCAGTACCAAAAAAAAAAAAAAAAAAGGAACATTTATAACTCAATAATGAAAAGCTAAATAATCCAATCAAAAATGGCCAAAGGATCTAAACAGTCATTTCTTCAAAGTAGATGTACAAGTGTCAGTGAGCATGTGAACAGGTGTTCAAGGTGATATTTGTCATGGAAATGCAAATCAAAGCCACAGTGAGGTACTGCCTCACACCCACTATGATGGTTATGATAAGACAGTACAAATGATAGCAAGTTGGAACTCTTGTGCACTGCTGGTGGGGATGTAAAATACTGAAGCCACTTGAAAAACAGCCTGGCAGTTTCTCAAATGGTTAAACAGAGGAGCTAACGATGTAGTTCAAGGGTGGAGCACATGATTTACATGCATAAGGCCTAGGATTCCCTGGCACTAGAGAAAAGAGTAAAGGTTAAATAGAATTAACCTATGATTAGAAACTTCTACTCATACTGAGAAGGGGAACAAAGGAGGTGGGAGGGGGAAAGGAAGGAAGGGACTAGAAATAAAAGAATAGAAGGAAGAAATGGAGATAAAGCTTTTGTAAATAAGCACTGGAAGAGGGATTGAAGGGAAGGGAGGGGAATGGGAAGAAAAAAGAAGAAAAAAATACCATCTATAGGTGCAAATTCCCTATGATGAATGTCACCACTATGTATATCTAAAATGTACCAATTTTTAAAAAAGCACTTGACAAAAGAAAACATAGAAACTCATCAAAATTTTTAAAAAGTTTCTAATCTTAGATAAATATGTGTAATAGTTACTTGATGTGTCAACTTGATTGAGTCTCCTGGTATTGATATTTGTTCAGATGTTGATTCTGGGTGTGTTTGTGAGGCCAGCCTGGCTAGATAGTAAGTTCAAAGCCAGCCTGAACTACATAATGAGACCCTGTCTCAAAAAAACCAAATAAATAAATAAATAAGATAAAAAATTTTTAAAAAGGCTGGAGATGTTAGTACAAAGGCACTGGGTTAAATCACCAGTACTGCAAAACAAAATAAAATTTCACTTGGTAGACTGAGTAAAGCAAATTTCCCTCCCTGATGTGGGTGGGTCTCATCAGTTGAAGGTGTGAGTAGAACAAAAGGCTGACGTTCCTAAGAGATGGAACTCCTTTTGGCTGCCTGCTTGAGGAGAGACATCAGTCTTTTCCTCTCTTTAGACTCAAACTAAAATATTGAGTTTCTAGTTAGCGGATTACACATCCTGGAGCTTCTTAACCTTTATACTGACGTAAACCAATTCCTTATAATAAGTCTCTTGAAAATATTTCTTACTGGTTCAGTTTCTTTAGAGAACATTGACCAATACAATACTTAAATTTTAAAACATATCCACACAAAGACTTACACACAGATTTCTGTAGAACCATTGGTAGCACCGTTAATCCCAGCTACATGGGAGGATGAGGCAGAAGATCACTTGAGCATAGGAATTTGAGGCTAGCCTAATCAACATAGTGAGACCTTCTGTCAAAAAAACAAAGAAAAATGGAAAAAAAAAAAGCAAACCATAAATGCCAGTTAGGGAATGTGACAGCAGAAGTATCACAAGTTCAAGCCCAGCTCGGGCAACTTAGTGATTTAGCAAGACACATTTCAAAATTAAGTATTTTAGTCCAGGCATGGTGGCACATGCTTGTAATCCCAGCTCTTGGGAGGCTGAGGAAAGAGGATTGCTTCAAGTTTGAGGCCAACCTAGACTACTTAGTGAGTTCAAGGCCAGCCGGTACTATATCGTGAGACCCTGTCTCAAAAAGACAAAAAAAAAAAAAATTTTTTTTAAAACAAAATTTTTGAAAGGGCTGGGGATGTATTCAATGCACAAGCCCTGAGTTCCATTCCTAATATCACAAAAACAATAAAACTCCACAAATATCCATCCATGGATGAATTGGTATACAAAATGTGGTATGTAATAGGCTGGTTTTGTTTTTTGGTTTTTGGGGTTTTTCTGTTCTTTTGAGACAGGATCTCGCTATGCAGTTTAGGCTGGCCTTGAGCTCACTTTGTAGCCCAGGCTGGCCTAGAACTCGCAAAGATCGGAGTGCTGGGATTACAGGTGTGCGCCACCACGCCTGGCTGTAATAGGATGTTATTTGCCAATAAAAAGGAATTAAGTGGGGTGCTGAGAAGTTCAACCCCAGTTTGGGCAACTTAAGGAGACCCTGTCTCATAAAAGGTTGGGATATAGCTCAGTGATAGAGGTCTGGGTTCAGTCACCAGTACAGAAAGAAAAAAAAAAAAAAGAGACAGACAGAGATGTAACTATATCTAGTTAAGGGAATGCTAAAGATTTGTACACAGATGCAGATTTCCCTGATTAGTCTGATAAACAGTTCTGACTCTGGAGAGTAACTTATTTTAACTTGTGGTTCTAGGTCCGACTGCAGACACAGCCACCAAGTTTGCCTGGACAGCCTCCTATGTACTCTGGGACCATTGACTGCTTCCGAAAGACTCTTGTTAGAGAGGTATGGTATTTGGTGCTGGACATTCCTTCTCCTGAGAAGAACACATGCAGGGCATTTTCTTCCTTTTAAAGCTCTCCTTGCTTATAGAAGAGGTAAAGGGAGCCATAGGTTAGAGGACACACAGCTTCCCTGTTTCAGTGCTATAAAGACTGGTGTTGCTCATCTGTAATCCCAGCACTCAAGAGGCTGAGGCAAGAGGATTGCCATAGATTTGGGGAGGCCAGTCTGAGCTGAACACTATAGTAGCCATCCTGAACTGCAGTGAAAGACCTTGACTTAAAAAAAGAAAAAGTGGTGGTGCCTGTAAACAGCTTTTGCTTCTGTGATTCCTTGCAGGGCATCACAGGGCTGTACCGGGGTATGGCTGCCCCTATCATTGGGGTCACCCCCATGTTTGCTGTGTGCTTCTTTGGGTTTGGTCTGGGAAAGAAACTACAGCAGAGATCCCCAGAGGATGTGCTCGGGTGAGTACTCACAGGCCTGGAGCACTCAGCGCTGCTCTGCTTGGCGTATGACACGCCAAGAAAAGAACCTCAGCAACCAGGCAGTGCCTGTCCAAGGGCTTCCTGGGAAGGACTGCTAGGAGTTCCACATGAGGAAGTACCCCAGTCATCCTGTGAACCAAGAGGGAAATAGACAAAGAAAAAAAAAAAACCCTTGCCCACTTTCCAGATTGTCTTCTAGGAGGTAATATCATTTACTGGGGTTGTTAATAATACCAACCCTTCAGGGTTGTTGAGAGATTTGAATGCTGATGTGTATTTAAAATACTGTGGGTAAAGCCAGATGTGGTGGTGCATGCCTGTAATTCCAGCACGCGGGAGGCTGAGGCAGGAAGATCATTGCGAGTTCAAGACCAGCCTGGGCTACAAAGTACGCTCAAGGCCAGCCTGAACTGCATAGCGAGACCCTGTCTCAAAAAAAAGGCAAAAAATAAAAAAAAATAAAGTAAAAAATCAAACACTGTGGGTAATGCCTGCAACAGAAGCAGCAGCTTTATTGTCTACCACCTAGTTAAGTTTCTGACTTTTCCTTTTTTGTTTTTTGTTTTTTGCTTTTTGACGGGGAATGCTAGGAATTGAATGCCGGACCCTTCCACTGAGCTACATTCCCAGGGCCCCTTTCTAAGTCACTGTTATACAGTCTGGGCTCAAATGTATGACTCACCTGCCTCAGCCTTCCAGAGTGCTGGGATTACAGGCATGTGCTGGCATACTTGGCTTACTACTATTACTACTACTACTGCTACTCCTCCTCCTACTTCCTCCCCGCTTCACCCATCCCCTGCTTCTTCTTTTTTCGTTTTAGACATGGTCTTGCTATGTAGTTTGTACTGGCTTTGCCATACAAATTTTTTTTTTTTTGAGATAGAGTCTCACTCTATAGTCCAGGCTAGCTTTGAACTTCTGGCAAAGACTGACTTTGAACTCACTTTGTAGGCCAGATTGGCCTCAGACTGACAGCAGTCCTCTTGTCTCTGCCTCCCAACTGATGGGATTACAGGTGTGCACCACTACACTGGCATTTCATTTTTATAATGTGATTATATGATTTTAATGATTACAGATACTGGTTTCTCTATCAAAGTGAAATAAGTTTCAGTATTTTTCTTCTTTTCTTTGGTACCGGGAGTCAAACTCAGGACCTTACACTTACCAGGCAGGCACTTTTGCTGCCGAGCTATATCCCCAGCCTCATTTACTATATTCCCTTGAGATGTTACCAAGCATATAGGCTGATGAACGTTCAGGAGCCCTTGCTTTCTTGTATAGCTAGGTTCAAAGTGCCAGTTTACATTGCTTTCTCCAAGAGGAGTCCTCCCGGCAACTTCCTGAGGACTGCCGTGTGAACTGAGACTTTGAAGCTGGGTACACGCGAAAGCAACTCTCTTGACTGGTGGACAGTTAGCCTACGTGCTTGACTTGTATGTGTGAGGTGGGTGTGTGAGTCCTGCCTGGGGTGAATGCATAGAACAGGCTATTGAAACTGGTGCCCTGCCTGAAGGGGAAAATCTACAGTGAATGGAATGTCCCCTCACTGCCACTTGGCATCTTTTCCTCGTGTCCTACTCCTTTTGACGGGACTGGCCTGAAGCTTCAGTTGTCAGAGGCTTGGGATGGTAGGAACGTGAGGCTCAGGACAGTGAAAGGTTTCAGCAACGTTTGCCAAGTTGTAGGGACTGTGTTAAAATGATGAATGTACCTGGTGCCCCGTTGCCACTAGGCCTTGCTGATCCCAGAAGGAAAGGAAATGCTGCTAGAGGTGTCACAGGCAGCTATGGTGACAGACACGAGACGCCTCAGACTTGTCCTCAGTGTGGTTAATTCTGTAGGGGCCTGAGTGAGAAGCCACGCCTCTGGCTCCCAGGGGACCATTCTGTGCACAGCGCCGTAGAACTCATCCTGCCTGCCTAGGGAGCATCCCTGATTTGGGCCTACCGCCAGTATTTTCCTTGCAGCTGCACACGCCTTGCAGCTGGTCTGGCCGCCCCTCAGCCTGTGACCTCGAGGCTGTTCTGTTTGAGTCTTGGCTCAGAGTGACCTCAGGCTCTTGGTGGTCCAGGGAAAGGGAGACTGGAGAGAAAGTGTGATCTCCTGAGATGCAGGTCTTGGGTAGAGGCTCCTTCTACCCCATCAACCCAGCTCTTCACAGTTCAAGCCTCTGAGAAGTCTGGGAACTTGTCCATAGTCACTGCACCAGACAGACTTTGGGTGGCAACCATGTCTCTCTAGGAGCTTCCATAGGTGAGGGATTCTGAGCATGTGCCTCGTGCGGTTGGACCATGTGCCTAGGCTCCACTGCTCTTGACACGGAGACCCTTGCTGCGGGACGTGTGACCAGAATATACCTAGAATTTGGCTTTCATGTGATTCACTTGTGACTATGCTTCTTCCTAGTTCAAGTACTTTTTTTCCTACAAAACCACCCTTTTTCTGGGATTACTTTTGTCTGTGGGGATAGTCACAGGTACTTGTTTCTGGTTTTTGTTTTCAATACAGCTACCCGCAAATATTTGCTGCCGGGATGTTATCTGGTGTATTTACCACAGGAATCATGACTCCTGGAGAACGGATCAAGTGCTTATTACAGGTATGGGTGTGATCTGATGGCAGGCAACTAGCTTTTTCCATTCAGCAAAAATTTTGTGAGCATGTTTATGTCCATATTCTCTTTATAAAGGCTTCAGGTCAGGTGTACAAAACAAATAGTTCCAAGGCTTTCTGGATCGTGGAAGCAATTATAGTAGAATTGAGAATCAAAACAGTGTAACACCAAGAAAAATGTCACACCTGCAATATGTCAGTCCTAGCCTACCCATCTTTCTTATCAGTTACTTCAGGAACTCTGAAAGATGAGTTATGTCTTACCAGAGCTAGTACAAGGGAAGCTGCTCCTATGAAAGATGTCCTGTGTCTATCAAAACCCCAGTGTCTTCAGGTCATTCACAGTGAATCTTTTAGAGACAAGTGCCCAAACTGCAACCCAAAACCCACTTCTTTATCACAAAGTGCCAACACTGCAATTAAACCTGACTCCTGAGGTTTTAGTTTAGAAAAAGCAACTCACACATTAACATCTTTTGTCTTAAAAACAAGTGACATGCATACCATAGGTTTGCCATAGTACAGCTTTAGGATATACTTCATCCTATAATTTTGTAATTTCAAGAAATTTTAAACAGAACAAAAGAGAAAAACTATTTAAGTAGAATCTTACACTGAGCTGGGCATGCACCACTGTAATCCCATGACAGGAAGCCAAGGCAGGAGGATCAATGTGAGTTCAAGGTTAGCCTGGGCCTGAACTACATAGTAAGACCCTATCTCATTCATAAGTAAATAAAAAAATTAATGGAAGTAGAATCATAGAGTATGTGAATTTTCAGATTGCCACCATAATTTTCTGGAAATTTATTCTGATTGTTGAATTTTTGTTTTTTATTTTTTGAGACAGGGTTTCACTCTGTCATTCAGTCTGGCCTTAAAGTCACTATGTAGCCCAGGCTGGCCTCAAACTTACAGGGATTCTCCTGCCTCAGCCTCCCAAGTGCATTACCACACCCACTTTAGATTGTTGAATGTATAAAAAGTTCATTTTTCTTTCTTTTTTTTTTTTTCTTGAGATAAGGTCTCCCTATGTAGTGCCGCTCAATTTTTACTTTATCTTTTCTGATAGATGTGTAGTAATATGTGGCCCAAAATGGCCTCGAACTACGAACTCATAGTGATCTTCCTGCCTCAGCCTCCATGTGCCACCATACCTGGCTTCTCAGCCTTTGTTTGTTTGTTTTTGAGTGAGGATCTCGCTCTATCATTCAGGCTGTCCTGGAAGTCACCGTGTAGCCTCGACTGGCATTGAACTGATGGCAATCCTCTAGCCTTAACCTCCTAAATTCTGGGTTTACAGGTGTGTGCCACCGTGCCGAGCTCCTCAGACTTTTTTTTTGGTCTTTTTGAGACAAGGTCTCGCTATACAGTTCAGGCTGGCCTTCAGCTCACTTTGTAGCCCAGGCTGGCCTGGAACTTACAATGATCCTCCTGCCTCAGCCTCCCAAGTGCTGGGATTACAGGTGTGTGCCACCACGCCCGGCTCAGACTTTTTTTTTGTACTGGGAATTGAACTTAGGACCTTGTACTTGCCAGGCAGGCACTTGTGCTACTGAGCTATATCTCCGGCTTTTTATTTTTTTTTTGAGACAGAGTTTTACTCTGTAGTTCAGGCTGGCCCTGAACTCACTTTGTAGCCCAGCCTGGCCTTGAACTCATAGCAGTCCTCCTGTCTCAGCCTCCCAAGTGCTGGGATTACAAGCATTTGCCACCACACCTGCGTTTCAGACTTTTTAAAAAATAATTTAAAAAAAAATTTTTTTTTTTTTTTGTCTCTTTGGGACAGGGTCTGGCTATGCAGTTCAGGCTGGCCTTGAGCTGACTTTGTAGTCCCGGTTGACCTCAGATGCACAATGATCCTCATGCCTCAGCCTCCAGAGTGCTAGGATTACAGATGTGTGCCACAACACCTGCCTTTAAAAATTTTTTAAATAGGGTTTTGCTAAGTCACTAACCTGCCCAGGTTGGGCTCGAATTTATGATCCTTCTGCCTCACCTTCCCAGAATGCTGAAATTATAAGCATATACCAGCATATCTGGCTATATCCTTATTTGTTCAAGAAACTACTATATCGTATTTCAGACTATACCATTTTACAGTGTTTTTTTTGTTGTTGTTGTTTTGGTTTTTTTCCGGTACCGGGAATCAAACTCATGACGTTGCGCTTACCAGGCAGGCGCTGTGCCGCTGAGCTAAATCTCCAGCCCCCATTTTACAGTTTTATCAGTCATGTATAAATGATTTTGTTTCTCTATATTCTCACTAAAATTTGGTGTGTTCAATTTTTTTTTTCTTTTTATGGGGATTAAACTCAGGGCTTTGCATTAAGCTACATCATCAACCCTTTCAATTTCTTTATTTGTTTTTTTTTGGGGTTTGTTTTTTTTTTTTGAGACAGGGTTTTGACATGTAATCTAGGCTGACCTCAAACTCACGGTGATCCTCCTTCCTCAGCCTTCCAAGTGCTGGGATTACAGGTGTGCACCACTATGCCCGGCCTCTCCTCCTTTTTGACACATGTAGCCAGGGCTGTCTGTTTTCCTCTCAAGATTGCTTCAGCTGTCTCACAAATTTTGGATTTTTGCTTTTTTTTTGGTACTTGGAATTGAACTCAGGACCTTGCACTTGCCAGGCAGGTGCTGTGCTGCTGAACTATATCCCCAGCCCTTTCTCACAAATTTTGGTATATTGTATTTTCCCTTTCACTCCATTCAGTGAGACCTTTTTTAAAAAAACAAACCTGCAAACAGCCAGGCGTAGTGCAATACATCTGTAACCCAGTACTCTCGAGACTGAGGCAGGAAGCTCGCTGCAAGTTTTAGACCAGCCTGAGTTCTATAGACCCTGTCTAAAAAACACAAAAGAGTCCGCTTCTTCTCTCCTTCAGCATCAGAAAGGGTGCACTGGATCATTTCTCTGCACTGGGTCATTCTCATTAGTAATAAAACCATACGTATGTTTGTGTTTTTTGCCTTAAAAGTATAAACCTCTTGGAGTATTTCACTTTTGAATACTCCCTCCTTGTCCAGAGTAGCTGTCATCTCTTTTTCCCCTTTCCCCACCCTCAAATAAAGAATCTTCTTTTATTTATTTATTTTTCTTCATCTTTTATTTTAAAAAAACCACTTCTCCCTACTCTGTTTCCCACATCATTTTCTATGCTTTAAACTTTGCTCCCCTTTACCTCAGAACTCTGAAAAAATTGTGTTTGTTTTTTTCACTCACTGTCTTGAATACCTTTACTCTGTGAAGCTGACTTCAGTCCGGCTTTTCCTCACAACTCCAGCACAGTGCTTTTGTGAAGGTCACCAGTGACTTTCTGCCCATGCGCAGTGGTCATTTCTTGGTCACCATCTCCCTTGATGCCTCGGTAGGTGGATCACCCCACCCCCACCCCTTAAAGCATGTCTTTACTTAGGGTTTTTCTCCCGTTTTCCCTTGTCTGTCTAGTTTCCGTCTCATCGAGTGAGGTCGTCTTCCTCTTTAGTGTTCATGGGTACAAGGCTCAGGCCTGTTCCATTCATTACTTTGATAATTTGATCTTGTTTCATGACAGTGAGACACCATTTATAGGCTGGTAATTCTCTCAACTTAGACTTTTCCTCAGTTCCAGGGTGGTTTACTATACACTCCTACTTGGACACTAATAGGTGCGAAACTGAACTGAGACACTGGCCTTCTCAGTACCTCCGATTCCCGGGTGCTGTGGTGGCAATGCTGTCCGTCCATACCAGGCCTAGCACCCGTGCATCCTCCCATCTCACTATACAGATCCCATTTGTTGGACAGTTAAACTTGCGTCCAGTGCATCTCAGATCTGTCATACCACCTCCATTGCCTGTGTTGCTTCAGGTCACCTTTATCACTGCCCCGGCTAACTCTGCAGGCCTCCTTCCTTACTGGTCTCCCTGACTGTGGTCCGTACTGCCTGTGACAGTGAGAAGTTTCCATGCATGTGCATTCACATACCCAGTTCTCCACGGCCGCCCAGTGTGAGTCACTCCAGCACCCTCTACCATGTGGGCCTTCCTGTTCCTCCTCAGAGTTGGCTCACACAAGATGATTTGGAGAAATTATGTAAAAAGAACCATTGACATTATCTTAAATTCACTGTTAGAAAAATTGACACCTTCCAAATTGAAAACTTTTCTAGTCAAAATGATGGCTTTTTAGCTAGGCATGGCGGTGCACAACTGTAATCCCAGCACTCAGGAGGCTGAGGCAGGAGGATCGCTGTGAGTTCGAGACCAGCCTGGGCTACAAAGTGAGCTCCAGGCCAGCCTGAACTGCAGAGCAAGACCCTGTCTCAAAAAAAAAAAGAAAAAAGAAAAAAATTACGATTTTTTTTTTTGAGACACGGTCCTGCTCTGTAATTTAGGCTGGCTTTGAACTCATTGTATTGCCCAGGCTGGCCTGGAACTCATGGCAGTCCTCCTGCCTCAGTTTGCGGAGTGTTGGGATTACAGGTATGTGCCACCACACAGCCAAAAATAATGACTTTTTTATATAAAAAAAAAAAAGGTACAATGGCACATGTCTGTAATCCCAACACTTAGGAGGCTAGGCTAGGTAATTGTTTTTGGTACTGGGAATTGAACTCAGGACTTCATGCATGCCAGGCAGGCGCTGTGCCACTGGAGCTATATCCCTGGCCGTAACACTTAGGAGGCTGAGGCAGGAGTATCATCATGGCTTCGAGGATAGCCTGGGTTTCATACTGAGTTCAAGGCCAACATGGACTACATAGAGAGACCCTATCTCAAAAAAAAGAGACTTGATTTGGTTTGGTTCTTGTTTTGTGAGAGGGTCTCCCCTACCAAGCCCAGGCTAGCTTTGAACTCATAGTGATCCTCCTGCTTTAGCTTCCTGAGTGCTCCTACTACAGGTGTATGCCACTGTGCCCTGCTCAACAATTATGACTCCTGGGCTAGGGCTGTAGCTCAGCAGCACAGCACCTGCCTGGCAAGCGTGAGGTCCTGAGTTTGATTCCCAGTACCAAACAAAATAGTACAAAAAATAAAAAATAAATGACTCCCTTTTTATTCCTCTCATTTATGTTCCTCAGAGGCATTTTAGTTTTACTTATTTATTTATTTGTCTTTTTGAGACAGAGTTTCACTATGCAGTTCAGGCTGGCCTTGAACTCACTTTGTAGCCCAGGCTGGCCTTGAACTCACAGTGATCCTCCTGCCTCAGCTTCCCAAGTGCTGGTATTACAGGTGTGTGCCACCATGCCCAGCCAGTTTTATTTATACAGTTTATTGCTTGATACACATATATCTTATTGCTATTTTGAATAAGATCCTTTTCCATTATTTTTTAACTGTTTAATCTTTTTTTTGGTCTTTTTGAGACAAGGTCTGGCTATGCAGTTCAGGCTGGCCTTGAGCTCACTTTGTAGCCCAGGCTGGTCTCACACTCGCAGTGATCCTCCTGCATCAGCTTCCTGAGTGCTGGGACTACAGGGGTGCACCACCATGCCCGGCTTGTTCACCTTTTCTTTACCAAGCTTCATGACCACCTAGGCTTGGAATGAATTTTGTACTCAATAGGTATTTGTGGAAGGAATAAACAGATGACTAAAACATTTGTCTTTTTTGATATCTTCCAAATTACTTTTTTTAAATACTTCTGTGTTTGGAAGATATATATATATATATATAAAGAGAGGCAGATATGGCAGATATTGTTTGCATACTGGGGATTGAATGCAGGGCCTTTGCACTGAGCAACATCCTTCTGATTTTTTGAGACGGGGTCTTGCTAACATGCTATTCTCCTGCCTCAGCCTTTCAGAGTGCTGAGATTATACCTGCTCAGCCTTACTTCATAGTGCTTTCCCAGTGTCACGTATTCCAGATACTTATTGACCCGACATCGAAGCCTTGCGTGGGTCTAAGCGACCACTTCCATGTGCTGTATTCTCTCATAATCTTCTGCGTCTCTTGACTTTGACCTGATGACCATGTCCATTCCAGATTCAGGCTTCCTCAGGGGAAACCAAGTACAATGGACCCTTGGACTGTGCAAAAAAGCTGTACCAGGAATCTGGGATCCGAGGCATTTACAAAGGCACTGTGCTCACCCTCATGAGAGGTAAATTTTGAGGCTCTCCCTCCACCTAAGGGCGTGTGGAGAGCTCATCTGAGGCTGTGCGACAGAGGGTCTTGCCTAGACAGCCAGGTTAGTAGCGGTACCTGCCACAGCTCTGACAGGGCTAGCAGGTTTCAGGCATTATGGACACAGGGTAAGGACAGAAGGACGTACCCTCATCCTTAGTGTCCTCAGGGGTGAAAGTCATGGCAGTGGTAGTTGGTGGAATTGGCTGATAGAAATCATTGCTGGAGGGACAAGCGAGGAGTGACTTAGGGCTAGTGGAGATCTCCTGTGTTTGTTTCACGACTGGGGAAGGAATCCAGGGCCTCAGCGTGTGAGGCAAGTGCTCTCCCATTGGGCTATGCCCTCTGCCCTCTCCCTGGTTTGACAGGTAGATTTTCCTAGGGTGACAGTGGGAGATGCAGCGATAGTTCCATTCTTGTCCTGAGATGGGAGCCTGGAGGAAGGCCAGATGCATGAGCTATGATTATAACTTCTCATGTGAGCTTTTCAGTAGTGACCTAGAGGAGACTTAAGAATGAAATATCGTATGTGTTCACGCTTACAGCGCTTAGCCCGGCGCAGCTGCTGGTAGCTGCAAAGTGATGATTGCAAACCAGATGCGGCTGCTAAGGAACTTCTCATAAAACCTTGAGTGATCAAGGTTTCAGGCTTGGCTCTGTAGTGCAGAGTAATCTGTGGGGATTTTATAGACTTAATTCATCCCTTTTTTTTTTTTTCCCACCTCTTTCTTGTTTTCTTCTTTTTTGGTACTGGGAATCAAACTTAGGACCTTGCTCTTGCCAGGCAGGCGCTTGTGCCACTGAGCTATATCCCTGACCCCTTTCACCTCTTTCTTAACACTAACAGATGTTCCAGCCAGTGGGATGTATTTTATGACATACGAGTGGCTGAAAAATATTTTAACTCCAGAGGGGAAAAGGTAAGAAGTTTATAACTTATAAACCACATTTCCTACTCACGAGTGGATGGTCCTCTCCTGTGAGTGGGTCGGGAAATACACAGAAGCAAGACTTCTTTCTCTGTGTATGTTTTATTCTTGTGGCTGCTGAGGCCTAGCTAACTTCTTCTACTCTGTGTTCACGCAGTGTAGCTAGTATGTAAAATAAGGGGGCGAATTCTTCCCCAGCGAGTAGCAGCTGCTGTGTCATGGAGCCTTGCCTTTGGACCTTTTCCCTCCAGCCAGCCTCTTCCTTTCAGTAACTTCCCTGTCTGCCAGAGGAGAGATGGAAAGGGGAACACGTTTCTCTCAGTCATCGTTTGACTGGGGCTCTGGTTGGGTGTTCTGCAGTGTCAGTGACCTCAGTGTTCCTCGAATCCTGGTAGCTGGGGGAGTTGCAGGGATCTTCAACTGGGCTGTGGCCATTCCTCCTGATGTCCTCAAGTCCCGCTTCCAGACTGGTGAGTGAGGTGGATGTGGATAGGGTAGGTTTTACACTGGCTACCCCAGAGGTTCAGAGCTCTTAAGACTGTGGGATACTCACTCTCTATGGCAGCACCCAGAGAGTGTCTGAAAAACTTCTGCCTCACTTCTAGAAATCCCAGATTCTTTTTCGTATTAGCCTAACCATAAAGTAAGATATGAAGTGAAATCTACAACCCCACCCTCCCACCACCACATAACCAGAAGGCTGTTTCATTCTTGTGTTTGTGCTTTGATGAGGATCAGACCCAGGGCCTCACGCATGTTAGGCAAGCACTCTGCCCCTGAGCTACACCCTGCACCCTGTTTCTTTTTTTTTTGGTATTGGGAATTGGACTCAGGACCTTGTGCTTGCCAGGCAGACGCTGTGCCGCAGAGCTATACCCCCAGCCCCCACCGTTTCATTCTTCATTCCTCTTATATACTCCCTTGGCACCAATAATCCAGACACTTGTGCATGTGTGCCACGGAGTAAATCATGTTGCCTTGGACTAAGTATAGATGACCTGTGAGGTATCCTCTCCCTAGTGCTGGCCGGGAGTCTACAGGAAGACTGTTAGATTATTCCCTGGGGTGCCATGGTGAGGTCACAAAGTTTCCTGAAGCTTTAAAAATTGGGTTCTGCCCCACAGCACCTCCTGGAAAATACCCTAATGGTTTCAGAGATGTGCTGAGAGAGCTGATCCAGAATGAAGGCGTCACCTCCTTGTACAAAGGGTTTAATGCAGTGATGATCCGCGCCTTCCCAGCCAATGCAGTAAGTAGCTGACAGGGGCTGTGATTTTTCTTCTGATCTTAGGCAGGGTGCAGGTGGGCTGGGTTTTGCTTGCTCTTGGGATTGCACTGGGGACTCAGTTCTCCTCAAAACCCCACTCTAAGCCAGAGCCTCTGTATTTGCTCACTTCCCTGAAACTGTCAGAAAGATTTGCCGGGAGGGTTCTCTGAGTCAGGAACTTTGATTTTCTGACCTGGCCACCAGAACCAGGCAGCTGTGGAATGTCCGTTTTCCTCCTATTGGGAATGAGTCTGCTTGCTTCTGTGATCCGGAGAGGGAGTGGGATTGGGGAGGTTTCAGGTCCTGACAGGGCCAGCCAAGCACATTGTTGTGGGTGGTACCTATGAGGAGCCACATTTCTGTCAGCTTTTCTCTTCCTCCCCACCCCCTCTTAGGCGTGTTTCCTTGGGTTTGAAGTTGCCATGAAGTTCCTTAACTGGCTTGCTCCCAGCTTGTGAGGCCGAAGGCTGCTGAAGGCTTCCGGATGCTGGATACTCACTGAGGAGAAGCAGTGGACAAGACTAGGCAGTCCTGGAGCGGGAGGGGAGGGGGTTGTGGGATCAGAGTTCTGAGCATGGACTCAAACTGTTGCCTTAATGATGTCTACCTTCTATGACTTGGTGTACCATTGTGAAACTTGAATTCACTGAAGGGATTTGGAGACGGAATAATTAGCTTTTTGACCAGATACCACCTGTGGCCAGAGTGCTGCTTCCCTGCTAGCCCCACTATACCGCAGTACTTCTTGCTAAAAAAGTAATCTCATCCTCTCTCTGAAATGCGCATTTTCACCCACCTGACAAGAAACTGGGATCTTCAAACCCTAGTCAAGAAAATCAACCTATTTCCAGGGTGCCATCTAATCCTGGGCTACACACAGGGATGTGGACGTGAAGCCCACGTGTCTGTCCAAGTGGACTGGGTGGATATGCCTAAGAACAGATGGTCTGTTAACCATCAGATTTTAATTTTTTTACACAAGCATATAATACAAAACAAAACTAGAGTAGTGTGATTTCTCGGTAGGTGGAGAACTTCCCCTCCTACGCAACAAGGACAGTCCCAGACTGCTGGGAAAACTGCAAAAGCCTGTGGTATAGGAATGCTGTTTTTACACACTCTTTTCTCATGAGAGTGCCTGTGAAACAATAAATATTATTTCTAATTTTTGCATTGTGTGAGTTGTGTGTGTGTGTTCTGGAACATTTCAGCCGGCAACCTGTGGCCTTGGTGGAGGCTGCCAGAGATCCAGTATTCTTCCCTGGTAGCTGTGGGCAGAGACTCAAGCAGGAGGAAGAGGCAGCTTTGGCTGGCCCAGACTGCTTACCCCAGCTGCTTGAGGGAGGATGGGCGGGGCAAGGTGACTTGACAGGTAACCTCACACATCTCCCAGTCCCAGCCTGACATGCCCGACCCCCGAGCCTAACCTGCAGCCCATCCCTCGTTCGTTCCCCGCTCTGCGCTGAGCCACAGAACTATCTAAGCTGACAAATGGGAAGTCAGTTGTTCTAAAAATGCAAAAGTGGCTGGGGGTTGTGGTGGCGCTGATGTTTTGCTGTTGTTGTTGTTGTTTGAGACTGGGTCTTGTTATGTAGTTCAGGCCGGTCTTAAACTCACTTTGCAGCCCAGACTGGCCTTGAACTCGCCACAATCCTCCTGCCTGAGCACCCCCGAGCGCTGGGATTACAGGCGTGCGCCACCACATCTGGCTGTGGTGCTCACTTACAATCCCAGTGCTTAGGAGGATTCCCATGAGTTCAAGGCCAGGCAGGGCTACATATCGAATTCAAGTCCAGCCTGGAGTATTGAGGTGGGACCCTGTCTCACAAAACAAAACAAAAAGGGCCAAAGCAATCTCCAGTTCTCCTGTGGCGTAAGGTTGTTGTACGATCTGATGTAGCCAGCCCGGCTTTACTAATCATGCAGATGATGACTGCAGGTATAGTTAGAAAAAAGAGTGAAGAATCACAGGGGGGGCTGTTTGGTGGAAGACAGAGCTTCTGGATGCTATGGGAATCAGGCTTTTCCAACATCATCCTGCCGGGTGGTCATAGTTCTCCTGCCATTTTATGCCTTATAGCTGTACAGAGATCCTTGTTTGGTTTTTTTTTTTCAGTACTGAGGTTTGAACCCAGGACCTTATATATGCTGGACAAGTGCTCTGCCACTGAGCTACAGCCCTAGTCCTTTTTATTTTTTATTCTGAGGCAAAGTCTTGCTAAATTGCCTAGGCTGGCTTCAAACTTGTGATCCTCCTGCTTCAGCTTCCTCAGTAGCTTATGGGCATGTGCTATCATTCCTGGCTGGACTTCAGCTTTAGAACCATTACTCTGTATGAAAGATACAGATAGATAACCTACAGCCATTCTGGAAGTTAGGCATGTGGCCAACCTGGAAGGAAGCCGAAGATTTGGGAGTTTCTGGAAGGAGGATTTATTTCTGGGAAGATATTTCTGGATGACTAGTTTGGAATTACAGCCAACTTTTTTTTTTTCTTTTCTTTTTGAGACTAGGTCCTACTATATATAGTCCAGGCCTTGAACTTGCTCAGGTATCCAAAGCTGGCCTAAACTTGCAGTTGTCAGCTTCCCAGGTGCTGATACATGTTGTATACGCTGGGCAGCACTTGCCCAGCATATATAAGGTCCTGGGTTCAAACCTCAGTACTGAAAAAAAAAAAAAAAAACCAAAGAAGGATCTCTATACAACCACATCTGGCTGCAAATTAATTTTATTTTAGAGAGGGGGGTGTCATTGTACAGTCCAGGTTGGACTTGAACTCACTCTGTAGCCTAGGACTTGTATCCTCCTACTTCATCCTGCCAAGTACTTGGATTACAGGTGCAAATCACCATGCCCAGCCAGGAGGGTCTTTAATATATCTCACTGACTTGGAGATACCCATTTAAGTGTCTTCTGGAACTCTTCTACCACCTAGTTCTGTTCTTTTAAGGTTTTTTTGTTTTGTTTTGTTTTGAGACAGGGTCTCATTATAATATAGTTCAGGCTGGTCTTGAACTCACTGTGTAGCCCAGGCTGGCCTCATGGTGATCCTCCTGCATCAGCTTCCAGAGCACTGGGATTACATGTATGCACTACCACACCTAGCTGCATCCCATTTTAAATGGAGTGTATTGGTTTCTTGATAGTATGACTTTATTTATTTATTTTTTTTTTTGGTACCAGGAAAGGAACTCACAACCTCACGCTTGCCAGGCAGGTACTGTGCTGCTGAGCTATCTCCTGGCCCCCATGTCTCTTGATGTTATGGACAGCAGATTAATTTACTCCTTTGGGTGTTCAATAGATGTTAAGTGAAACAGGGAAGCCCCTGGTGGCAAATTTATGAAGGAAACAGAACAGATGGTGAGTGACTCCCTTCTGGCTTGTGCTTCCTTTATGATGCATTGTGAAATGCCATCTGTTCCTGAGGTATCTCTTCTGTGCCTGGCAGGGTTGAGGGGGTGGAAGCAGGACTGGAACTGGGCCCAGAGATTCCTCTGTCAGTCAAGGAGAAGCCAACAGTGATGGTTAAAACAATTAACTGGTGATAACAACCTTGCTGAGGCACCAACAAGGTTACAACTGGGCCAAAGGTGAAGGACACAGCAGGTTTGCAAAAGCAACCTGGTCTTGTTTATTCAAAATAGTCTCTCTCTCTTTTTTTTTTTTTTTTCTCTTTTTGAGAGAGGGTCTTTCTATGCAGTTCAGGCTGGCCTTGAGCTTACTTTGTAGCCCAGGCTGGTCTCGAACTCGCAATGATCCTCCTGCCTCAGCCTCTGGAGTGCTGGGATTACAGGCGTGTGCCACCAGGCCGGGCTAGAGATAGAGTCTCATTATGCTGGCCTTGAACTCGTGGTGATCCTCCTGAAAAAGTGATCTGTTAAAGGCACAGTAGCAGCTGGTTATGATAGCACACACGTGTAATCTCAGCACTCTGGGAGGTTGAGGCAGGATGATTGCAGTTAGAGCTCAGCCTGGGCAATTTAGACCCTGTCTCAAAAAGGGCCAGAGAGGGGGCTGGGGATTTAGCTCAGCGGCACAGCGCTTGAGTTCGGTTCCCAGTACCAAAAAAAAAAAAAAAAAAAAAAACCAAAAGGGCTGGAGATGTAGCTCATTATAAAGGCCCTTGGTTCAATTCTCAGTCCTACTTCCCCCTAAAAAGAGCAGTAACATCATTTCTGCTATAAAGTTATACCATAACTACCCATCATTTCTTTCTCTATAGTTTTTTTTTTTTTTTGATACCAAGAATCAAACTCAGGACCTTGTGCTTGCCAGGCAGGCGCTGTGCCACTGAGCTATATGCCCAGCCCTCCCTATAGCTTTTTGAGTCTGGAGCTCCTTACATCTTTTCTTGTCTTATATATTCATTCACTCTTCCTCTGCTTCCTCTTCCTCCTCCTCTTCCTCATTTCTGCTGAGGATGAAACTGGCTTTCATATTGAGCTGCATCCTAAGCCCTTTTTATTTTATTTTATTTTTTTATTTCCAGACAGGGTCTTGCTAAATTGCTAAACTGCCCAGGCTGGGATCCAATATGTAATCCTCCTGCCCAGCCTCCTGCAATGCTGAGATTACAGGTATGTACCCTGCACCAGCATTTGTTTGTTTTTTGGAGACAAGGTCTCTCTATGTAGTCCAGGCTGGCCTTATATTCCTGAGCTACTTTGTAGCTCAGGCTACCTTCAAACTCCCAAAGAACATCCTGCTTCAGCCTCCCAAGTGCTGGGATTGTAGGTGTGCACCACCATACCCTGCCTGAGTCCTTTTTTTTTTTTCCGGTACCAGGAATTGAACTCACGACCTCGCGCTTGCCAGGCAGGCACTGTGCCACTGAGCTAAATCCCCAGCCCTGAATCCTCTTTTCTTAATGCCATGCTAGAGATCAAATCTGAGGCCTTGGGCATGCTCAGCAAATGCTCTTCCACAGAGACATCCTCCCAGCCCCTATTTTCTCATTTCTTCATGCCCACATGACTCAATAGTTAAAGGGTAGGGATTTTTTTGTTTTTTTGAGACAGTCTCACTATGTAGCTTAGGCTGGCCTTGAATTTACTTTTTTTTTGTCTTTTTGAGACAGGGTCTCCCTATGCAGTTCAGGCTGGTCTTCAACTCACTTTGTAGCCCAGGCTGGTCTCATAGCGATATTTCTGCCTCAGTCTCCCAAGTGCTGGGATTACAGGAGTGTGCCACCACACACCGCTGTGGACTTGAGTTTATGATATAGCCCAGGGTGGCCTCAGACTTGAGGGGATCCTCCTGCCTCAGCCTTGGGGCGCTGGGATTACAGATGTATGCCACCATGTCCCACTTGGGTAGGGATATTTTACCATCAATTTCTGATGTGGAAGCTGAAGCTCGGACAGAGTAAGGTGATCTGTAGAAGTCCTTGGCAGCAGAGACAGGGTATCTCAGTGTGATCCTATCAGAAGCTTTCTTGGAGCTACTTGCCCCAGGCTCCAGGAGGCATCGGTCAGTATTGCTGGGTCAAAGCCCGGGCATCCAGTGTGTGTCAGGTAAGGGGTGGCACAGTGTCCTGTAGGAACTACCCCCCATTTCTCTCCTAGAGGGCTCCTTTTTTCTGCTTTCCCTGCTACAGTGAGCATGCAGGTCTGTGATTCCCCAGCCAGGTTCTTTCCTTGCACTGAGATATCCCAGGGGCAGGTTATGAGTCCAATGCAGAGACTGACACTGTCTCAGATGGTGTCCTGGGGAAGGGGTTGGCTCACAGGCAATAAAACAGGTGGCCTTGACATTAACTGCTCCTCGAGCATGTATTATTGTTAAAATAGGTCAGACCTCTTGCACCAAAGGCAGTGGCTTCATGGTAGAGCCACTGTGTAGAAAGGACGGCTTGTGTGAGGCCAAAGAATGACTCGCTTCCCCAATTCCTCCTGCCAACTAGTAATTCATGAGCATTTTTTTGTTTTTCTTTTGAGACAAGGTCTCACTGTGTATCCCAGGCTGGCTTCAAACTCTTGGTGACCCTTCTTCAGCCTCCCAAGTGCTGGGATTACAGGTGTGCACCACCATGCCTGGGTAGGAGCACTTCTAAGCTGGAACTGGTGGTACTAAATCCTAGGAGGGTTTTCCATGCAGAGGTGGTCAGGTGATGAGCAGGTTCCAGGAGTATGGTGGGAAGTCGGAGTGGCTTAGAGAAGTAGTCCCTTGGTCAGGGAAGAGGCTGAAACTCCCCCAAAGCCAGAAGACATAAGACATTGGTAAAGTGGGAGGCTGTGCCTTCACAAGGTTTGAGCTTTGCCCTTCTTCCTGGAAAGAGAAGTGGATGTTTTAAATAATAAACCTGTCAAGAGTTCATGAAATTGCTGGGCGTGATAGCACACACCTGTAATGCTAGCATCTGGGGCAGAGGCAGGAGGACTGCTGCAAGTTTGAGGGCAGCCGGGGGCTACATAGTGACCTCAAGGCCAGCATGAACTACATAGCAAGACCCTGGCTTAAAAAAAAAAAAAAAAGGGGAAGAGTACATGAAATTGCTAGGTGTGGTGGTGCACGCCTACAACCCCAGTAAGATCACTGTGAGGCCAGTATGGGCTACTTGGTGAGACCCTGTGTCCAACAACAA